TAAATAATTCAGTCTAGCTCTCATCCCAGTTGCGTAAAACCCTCTTTGACCGATTAAAATAGTAGCACGCAACAGTATACGTATGGTAACATTCGAATAAATTTTTAATTTTTTTATTTATTTGTTATTTGTTATTTTTATTTTTTTAAAATACAGAAATATATACATATCAAGCATCTCAAGAAATACAGAGGAGAATGTGTTATTTGATAATGGATGAAAATATAAAATAAAAAATAGCAAATAATTAAAAAAATAGCTACTTGATTTCAGCCAGTATTTTGAGTTTATTGGTATTGTTCCAGGATTTCGAGAGTTTGTTGGCCAAAGTAGATTTCCAAAGTGATTGGTCTGTTTTCTGGAATAGGATCTCAACGTTTTTCAATAATAAACTTTATAGATGTCGCATACAAGTAGTTGCGTGTAGGATGAAATGGGTTGTGTTTATTATTAAAATTGGAGTTTTTTTGAGTAGCGTGACAGAGGGGATGTATAAATGGTTGTACTTTTTTATAATTGTACCATTAAAAAAATCTTCCATTAATAAAGATCCATTTATTAATAGAAATTCATTTATAAAATAATCCAACTTACGAATAAGCAGAATTGAATATCTCATTTAAGTGATGCATATAAAATTACATTGAATTCATAACGATAGAAGTCCATTTTTTATACGACCACGATGAGTATCATATGAGTATTTCCATTCATAGAAATTAAATAAGGATTTCCTTGTTTTTGATAAAAATTAGTCTGTTAAAAATTAGTGTGATCTTCTTTTCGAAGCTTGATTATTCACAGGATTTTCTATTCGTTTCATTTACTGCCTTTTTTGACTTCTTTTATACATGTAGTTCCTTTTCGTTTCTTGATGACGAGCTAGGTTATTCAGACTCGGCTGTCGTAAAAACATTCAAATTTATTTCTATTGTAAAGCTGAGCATATTTCATAGTCTTTTGAGAATAATAAAACAAGAAGATATTAGACTCTGAAAAAGCGTAAAAAATCTTTATTACTGTTCCAAATTTTTTTTTACTGTAAAATATCAAATAACTGCTTGTAACTTAAGATTCAGCCAATAAGCAATATAAATTAAAAAAGCGAATATAGTCTTGTAAATAACAATTTGTTTATTCTTATAATGAATTAGCAAGATATTATACACAGTCAACACCGTTAAACCAAAGCACTAAATTGCGTAAACCGAATTTAGTTCCAAAAACATTATAGTAAACTCACCTCAATAAATCGAAGCTGGTTCGGGACAGTTATTTAAAATGCAAGATCAAGAGGCAGTTCTAATTTGTTGGATAGTGTGCAAGATAAACCGAATTTACTAATCCTGCAAGAAAATTTGCATATGTAAAAAAGTACGGAAAATACGAAGAGTCGAATACGTATGTCTGTAAAAGGTCCTTTGTACATGTGTTTATTTCCAGACATATAAACATGTGCGTCGCATACGTCCTGTATGTAGAAGATTGTAAAATCCTGTTTGTCCACAGACATTTACAGTGTATTTTCCTTAGAATAAATAATCCTGATAAACGGGTTTTTTAAAAATTCTGACCACTTCAGTTTAATGTGGGGGGGGGGGGAGTTTGCACATCTGAAAAATTTATGGCCGATCATTAAAGCAAATAATGCTAATGACGAATCTTCGGTTTATATTTATGATTGATTTTATAAAAGATTTAATTCTGTTTCAAATTATCCGTGCTGTGCATCATTTATTTCTTCCAAGAAAAATTGAAAACTACGGTATGATTCATTTATAATACCAGATGCGGAACACCAAAGCTAAGAAAATTCCCCGAGATCACATCGGTTTTAGTGTCAGCATCTGTCACATTACTACCTACGCCACTTAAATGTCAAACAAATGTGTCCGAGCTCCGCCATAAAGATCGGCTTTAAATTAACACAGAGATCACCATGATACATGACAATCTTTTGTTTACTAAAATGTATTTAAGATCAACGCGTCTAGCGCATAATGAAGTACGTAGCAATATCAACGACTACAGTGACGATTAATAAATAATATTAACAAACACAGTGGAAGATCCTAAATGCTTCAAGAGATATTTACTCCGCGGTCACGAACTTCGTCATAAAGTCTTGAGGTTTATAAACAATTACACTTTTCGTGTCACTCTTATCGAAACAAAAAGTTGCCGATTGAGAAATTTATTTCTGATATTAATCGCTTTTGTTAATAAATAGCACGCGTTTGCGCAGAGTTCATTCATACATCTGTGTACTTCAATGTGAATTAAAAATCCTGCCTTAAACAGGAAACAAAAAATAAACAGATAGTACTAATACTATATTTATCTAAAAGCAGCAAACGCGGCAGATTTTTTTTTAAACTTAAATATCATCATAATATATATTTTGATCTAATTCAGATTGATGGAGATAATAATATAAATACGACAAATGGTGCTATCTTTTAGAAACAAATAAAAGTTGTTACCATTTTTTAAAATAGATTTTGTTCTCTTATTGTAAGAATTTCCAATATAGTATTATATAAATTATCTTTAAAATAGATTACATAAAAATTTATATAACCGAATATAAATATACAGTATATATAGAATATTAAAAATTGTCAAAAATTTTACAGAACTATTTGAAAGGGAATGCTTGTGGATACTCTTTGAACTTTACTCATAATGTCGAATCAAAAGCAACCAAACTCTTTAAATAATAAAATTACGCCACAACCATTCCCATCAGACAAAGATATCAAAAATAATACCACTCCTTTATCCTCCTCCTCCTCCTCATCTCTTATCAATAATCAAAATAAAACAGGTGCAGAACAAATGCTTCCAACGGCACTCGCAACATCCATCGAATCTTCCCTTCCTGTGGCTACAGAAACTGCGAAAAGAAAATTGGATTTTCCTTTACCTTCACCACCAACAACTCTTCCTCATGAATTGGTCGCCAAACTCATACAACGTGGTGATAAGAAGAGTGTTAGAATGCCCAACGAATTTTTTATTTACCGTACTGCAATAGTGAAAGAATTAAAATTGCGTGGCGAGAGGATTAAAATGACAGAAGTATCATCAATGGCTTCTGTTTCGTGGAAGCAAACAAATAGAAAAGAAAAAGCTCAATATCGAAAAATTGCACGCGAAACTGAACGCTTATATATTCAAGCTCGTAATGCAAAGCAAAAACAAAAGCAGAAAGAAGAAACTGAAGAAAAAATAAATGATGCATCAAAGAAGAATCCAACCATTGAATTTATTTTTTCTTCACTGGTTCCTTCGTCGGTTCCCACTCAAAATCAGAATCAGACACCTACTATTGCTTTTATAAATGAACTCGTGAAAAGTCAAAATTATCAGCCATCAAATACCAACCCTTCTATTTCAATTCCACCGTATAATATTTTACAGGAACACCATGAACCACAATTCGCTTCAAATCTCAATCAATTTTCATCCCCTCGAAGTTTTATGACAGCTTCAGCTACACAACCTATTAACCAATCGCAAGACGTAGTACAAGCATACACAGATATGCTTCACGATTTTTATCAATATCAACTGCAGCAACAATATTTTCAAAACATAGTATCCAATGAAACTTTTAGTAATACACTTCCCTTAGCTTCTTCTAATGAATCGGATAATCCCGCTATCATTGAAAATGGCAGCGATCTTCGTTACATTTTATTTGAATAACAACTTAACAACATACAGTACGTATAGCAATTACAGTATAGCAATTACAGTATAGCAAATAATAAAGTCTAAATTAATCATCTACTTTTCAACTGTGAAAGATTTAAAAGTCGCTTGAACAAAATATGCTAACATAATGAAAAGATCGAGCAAGTAATTATGTTAACCTTTAATATGATAGCTTTCATTATTATATGTTGTGAACACTAAGGTTTAAAGAATAAATATCTTATGTATGTTTCTATTGAAAACTTATGAGTCGTTCGTTTTCTTCTGTCATGCAGTTTGTAATGCACATTACGGAGTTTGGAATTCCGATTGAGAGTATTAAGTTAATTAAATTATGTAATATTCACATGAAAAAAACCTTTATACTATCATTTGAAGAAGTTTCCATCTATATTATGTTGCAACGTGTATAAAATTGATACGTTTTTGTTTCAATGATAAGTTCTTTATGTTACTTTAAACCCTATTTTTAGCTAAAAAAAAAAAAGAAGCTCAAACTTAAGTGCTTTCCTTAAAATAAATTTCTGATTAAATAGCGATATAGTGCAACATGAAAAGTTTTTTCTGCGAATTTTTAATTTGTAATCTAGATGCGGATCAGTACTGCCCATATCACAGCAAACAAAATTATTAAGTCAGATGATGCATTTTCATTTCTGGTGTTTATAAAACAAATTTTATTATGTAGCAGCAACAACTTCAGAAATGACTGGTAAATGATTTTTTTTATGTGTATACGTAATCTATGTATAATCTATGTATCATCTATGTGTAACATAAAATTACCTGTTACGTAATTAGAAAAAACTTTCAAATTAAATATAAAATGAAATACATGTCAAGATATATTATTCTCATTATCTTAATATAAAAATGGTCAGTAAATTCGAAACCCTTAGTGTTTCGGACGAAACTGGTTTCGCCAAATTTGTTCTACAAAGTGCTTTCAAATTATAGCTTCGGGGACTTACAAGGGCGAAACTGAAAGTTCACTGGACGAAACGTTTCGGATTTTGAAAAGTATTAGGAACCTTCGATTTTTACTATATTTGATTAATAAATTTATAAGAATCGCAGTAAGGTATTGTAGGGATGCGGATAAACTGTAAATAACGAATAAAAATAGATTCGTTGAAAGAAGAGAAAAATTGAATATTTTGGTCATTTAACAATTCATGATTTTCAATAAAAAAATTATTGCAAATGATATAATTTTTTGTCCAGATTTACGATGCACATAATAAATAACTTATACCAAGTTCGTAATAATCGTGCATCTTCTTGCCGCTGCTTTGTGATACATGTACTATTGAAAGCATTTCTATCATCATTAACCACATTCATAGCATAGGCCTATTCCTATTCCACAGTACAGATTGATACCGGTAGAACGCCACGTCAATATTTTGTAACATACTCATAATGATAAAGTATACTGTGCATCACTTAGATCCTGCAGCTTTTTTAACACTGAGAACTAAGTTGCGCATTCTGATCGGAACATATGGAGAAAATCCAAATGAGTTGCTGTTTCTAGTAATTTTTGGGTTCATTCGAGTTTTGCTGATATAAAAGAATCGAAAAGTGTGCAGCAGTTTGCATTTACGTAATGAAAAGAGTGATGATCAGTTATAAAAAGTATATCAATGACATTGAAATTATTAATAAAGTGTCTATTTATTTTATACATGTATATAAAAAAAAACATGTTAAAATATAGATTTTCTTTATTTTAATACAAGAATTGAATATTTATCAATAAAAATTCGAAAATTCAATATACTTAATCACTCTTGATAAACCCAGCTATGGATAAACCGGCTCAGAAATTTTAGGTTTACATGGTTAGTAAATCTCTAAACCTGATTTTGTACTATGGAACAGAGCCCTCCGGTTTATCGAGAGTGACTATGTATAAAGAGAAATTTCCATTTTAATATGTTTTTCTGAGTCTGTAGTTAGAAAATTTCTTTGATACATAATTTATGGTACGTACATGCGCAGTGCAAGATTAACATTAAATGATAATGTCGTTACGAATCACCTCATCCGGAACAATACATGAACATGTATAACAAACAAGTTTGCATCTAGAATGTGCATGTACATACATTTGTACGTATATGTACATGTACTTGGCAAACCTACGTACGTATTACGTACATTTTTTGTTAATCAGTTTCATTAATCTAAGACTAAGAACCTATACGAGTCAATTTCTCAAATTCTTCTATACTAGCATTTGATAATCGTCGGTAAAGGAGCGAATTTTTGCAGCTTATTCTGTAATCTTGATATTACAGTCTCAATAATTCGCTGAGTAAAGGAAATTTTGATAAATCAAATATTAATCAAAATTTTGTCAAGTAATGATGAGCGATAATCGAAGAGAAATATTTGCTAAATATTCGTATAGTAACAATTGATGAATTGCATTTAAACATGACTCGTCTATCAGATTTAAAACTCAAAATCCAACTAACCTGCCAATATTCCAATCAAAATCTTTATTTTTGTTTCATACAGATAGCGGGGAGTCAGAACGTAGCGTACTTGATTTTGAGATTAATTTGGTTCACTCATTTATTATATAATAGAATGATCTATATTCTCAACTTTTGCCAACCAGTATAAACCGTTCTTTCAGATAGTTGTGTGATTATAAAAAAATTGACAAGAGAATAGATGACTCTTTTCACCAAAAAAAAAAAGGTTATTTGAATTCAATCTTTGATTGTGTGATACCGTACATTCGAAGTTTTTCACTTTAGGTGTAAGAGCAATTGTTGCTGTAGGTGTAAAGAGGAATGATGCTTTCTGTTCAAATGATAGTGCGGGTACTAATAATGGTGCAATAAATGCAAGTTTTATACAATTATGTCTTTCCAATCGTAAGCTTATAATTCAAAGACCAGTTATTTCATTGCATAATATTAGTTTAGGAACGATTCCATTAGTACATGTATCTTTTTTACTTCATTTTGATTAAAATATTAACTTCGATTTTTCTTATTTTAAACTGTAGAATTTATCGTTATCGTTATTATTATACATACATGTAATTAATAATAACAGCGACATGAATGTTTGTATCGCTACGTATCGGTATTACTTACATTTAACAGTTTATCCTGTTATTATTTAGATCTGCAAATTAATTAACGAACAATCATGTGTATCGGGTGTTGGTGGGAAATAACTTACAATCGGATATTGCTATATATTGGTATAACGTAAAAAACACTGCAATTGCTATGCTAACAATATACATGTACGTAGTAACAGTACAGTTAAGTAAATTTTGCAAACAGACGATGTACATGTACAAGTACTAATGTGAAAATGAGGTCGATTATTACATGTATATGTACATTGATTCATTCATATCCCTCACCGTATTTATATTTAAGTTATAATGTAATTGAATAAAATACAGTATTTATACATGTATAAACAAGCACGCACATGTAACAAAATGACATGTTTTCTAAGAAGAGATTTTTACTTATTATGATCCTGCATCGGTATGATCTAGATACGTAAATTTGATAAAACAAATGAATCAATTAAATAATTTGATCTAAACTAAGAAATATGTAAATAATATAAAGATAGCTTTTTATTATTGTTAATTTAATTTAATAAAGTAACCATTTTTTTCTAACAAAGAGCAACATTCTTATGTGGATATTGTTTAATTATAATAAATGATATGTTCTCCTTGAACCAATGTGGTATCCTAGAATCGGAATCCGTTTTAAATACGTAGCGAGTTTACCTTCATTTTAAAATCGATATGTAGAGATTCGGCACTGCACCGCCACACATTTTGGTACTGTACAAGAATAATCCAAAGTGTATGGCGACACAGTACTGACAATTCAATATGGTATATCCCTCGGTATATTTGTTCCATACTATACTAAATTTGTTTATACACTGTTAAAAATAGTACTGTACAAAATGTGTACTGAATGTTTGTAGACTCTTTGGAAATGTCAATATTTCGAAACAGAAGGTACCTGTGTCATTTGAAGTTCATTTTTAGTAAAATTCGACTGCGTTGGTATGGATTCGTTGTTTTTAGATGCATTTACAAGAATTTTTGCGATTTCGTGTTCATCTAGTGATTGTCTATCTAGTTTAAGACACCTCTGAATGTCCTTATCTTTGAAGAGTTGTAATACTGAAAATTCAAATATTCAGTTTTAACTCCTTATTGCAGATAGAGCAGATAAACGCGAGAAGTTTCTCAACAGTTAGTTTGTTATCTGGGTAAGATCCTAACATTTTTAATAATAAATTAGCCGTACTCTATAGATATCACACATAGGATGACTTTGCTATCGAATGGTTGTTCTCTTATCACAATCTCGTGCATAATTATACCAAAGCTATCGATACCTGCATTTTTAGTGTATGACATTCCAAGGAAGTACTCCGTAAATTTCTCCATCAGTTTATTTAAATGGACTGGTAAGCAATTTAAGGATCGCCATCTATTAATTTATTTCCGGGGTAAAAGTCACAATGTACAAAACCCATTGCGTACTTAAATATGTAATTTTTCACAATTCGATTTTTCATAGTTGGAATTACATGTATTATATTTGCGAAGATTGCCACCGTTTGCATATCATAATAATGATCAATAAATGCATTTTAAAACAGTCTGAAAAAATTAGAAGCAAAAAAGATATCATGCTTACAATTTAGAAAATGTTTATGTTTACCTTGTTTATAAACTCTAATGTAATTTGCTTGAATCGCCTAACGATTCAACATAACTTCGCGTTCTCCAAATCTTTAATTGGCATTTCACGAATAAAACCCCAAATCTGCATTTCTGATGAAGTAAAGTCTCTCAATTTTTAATCAAATGGTTATGAGATTCAAGCTTTTATTTCACTTGATCAATATAAATTTTTCAAGTATAAAAATGTGAATTTGATTTTCAAATAATACCGATTAGTCAATTTTGTGCAAAGTTGCTTCCATAATTTTGGTCTAAAAAATTGTAAGCTAGTGTAAACTCAAAATTTTTTTTAATATATCTTAAATCTCTAAAATTACATAATTTTCAAAATCGAATAATTTTGTAAACAAAAGTTGTATATTTGAAATTATTGAGCAAAAATTTTTTTGTTATAATAATTATGATTCATGGACTGCAAATTCCCATTTGTTATCCAATATCCGTCCAACCAGGCAGGCTGCATTATAAATTTGCTCCAAAACCACCTTTTGTAAGATATTCAACCTTAGTAAATCTTTTAAATGGGATCCATTCGAAAAATCTGCTATTAGTTAGATTCGGTCCAAAAACCATCGGTCCTTTGCAAAGACTGGACCGAATCACGGTCCCAAATTGATGAGGACCGAACTGAATAATTCATTTAAAGCTTCAGATAGGTTATAGAACATGAATTAATCAATTTATTGTTTTAATTTTATTTTATTAGTGTTTTTTTAGATAATCACGATTAAGGTAATTAGGTAATGGAAAGATGCCTGTATATCGTAATGCAAGAATTTTGTTAAATAAAATGATAACTTTCGAATATCAAATTATACCTAAAATTTCGCGCTGAGTATTGTTATCTAGAGGTTCCAGTCATTATAGTTATTGAGTTATTTGCAATTTGAATTTTGTGTTATCGTTATACATGTACGTACATGATCTTGGATTTGTGTTACACTTGTTCTTGCAATCGATTACACGTGATACTACTCCCACTTTAATGCATCCTCGTACTTTTAGTAAGCATACATGCATCGGACGTCACATAGGGCCATTTCGATCCGACCAATCAACAGTCCTAAGGAGAGTCGCATCAATACTACAGTGCAAGACACCTTAAACCAGAAAATTTTATTAGTAAAATTGGCTAACTTTAGAACAATTTAACTTTGTTAAAATTTAACCTATTAACAAAAAGTTTTCGTAACTTTTATTCTATTTATTCTTTTACATTAAAATTGGCTGTGAAAATTTTGAAAATTGTAGTAAATTTGCTGGCTGGTTTAAGATGTCTTGCACTGTATGCCACAGCGCTGAAATTTTGGAAAGTATTACACGAAGAAAGGGACATCTACAGTCAACACTCTCTATTGCAACATGATGGGACCAGACATTTTGTTGATATATAAGAAGGTTGATAACTCAGAGTTAGAGTTAGAATCAATATATTAGTCCAAGTGAAATTTGATCTGCAATAAATGTTGATAATAAAGAGGTATTGATATTAAAGAGGTTGATAATAGAGGGTTGATTAGTAAAGGAACTAATACAGAGTTATTATAGACGATGTTTATTTCTTTTTCATATTCTTTGATCCGAAATGCATTCTTCCAACTCTCTTTATAAATATAAAAGAATATTTCAATGTTTTTTTGTAATTATATCTATTTATTAAATGTCAAATTGTAAAAAATATAAATTATTTTGTGATATGTTCAGATGTCCTGCACCATAACGATAAACTATATATAGGCCACTTTGATGTATCTATTTTTTGCGTTGTGTTTAGATGTCCTGCACCATAAAGATAAACTATACAGAGGTTAAAAAGCAGGTATAAAAATTTGGCGATTATACAGAGTTTGTGACTATATACATGTAGGCGATAAAGATATGACTGTACTACAGCCATGTGTGTGCGGTATTGACACATCCTTCACTTTCAGCTTGAATCTTTTTGCAATGATGGCAAATTTCTCTACATCCAATCGAATTCATCACTTCCTCACAATCCTCACAAACAGGAAAACAAGGATCGTCTTTAACTTTATGATCGCATATTTTATAAAGCTCTTCACACCCTTTACTTTTGGAAGATTGGTTGCAACAATCATATCGATAATTGCATCCGGGGGAAGCCTCAGCATGACAGCACTTATATCTCTGCAAGCAACCAGAGTCGTCTGGTTTCTTTTTGCAACAACGATAAACCAAAGTGCATCCGGATGATCTTATATTTTTCTCACAGCAATCCCAGCGCATAGCGTTTATCTCCGTCTCTGTAGGATTTACCAAACCTATAGTCACGATACGAAGAGTCCAAGCACCCGCACTGTTGTCCATCACTTTTTTCGTTTCGCCACCATAAGGTTGACCCGTATGAACTAGTTCTACGGAATTTGGATGGTACTGTTCCATTGAATCAGGATGATAAAGAGCAAGATTACCTGTGTGTTTTGGTATAATTTCGCCATTATGAATATATTTTTTATTGCCGTGAATCCGTTCTGTTTCCATATGACAATTTGGAACGGCTAGCCTTGGATCAGTTTCTTCGGGACACCTTAAACACTTGACTCTTTTAAAGCTGAGAGATATCGGATGTTCAAGATGTTCTTTCATTATTGACTCGTACTTTGCAAGGATTCGTTCCGGTTCAGATCCTTTAAAAACACCATGGCTGTTTAATTTATCACTTGTGAATTTTCTCTTAGCATAAACATTTGTATCCTCCAAACTTTCAAATAATAAAATCTTAAAATCACTGGTTTTCACAAGAAGGTCTTTTTCGATATCCAGTAGTGTGAGAAGTTTTTCTATCCACGAATCGACAAAATGTAATGGTTTCCAGATGTTGCTGAAGGTGGCGATGGTAGGTATTTTGCCGTGTTTTTTTTCATGAATTTTTCGAGCTATTTCTTTAGCAGCTTCACGAGGGCCTTTGTGAATAACGTTGCCTTTGGTAACGATGATAGTATTATCCCACACATTGCCGTCGTGGTATTGCGCCAAAGATTCTATAAATCTTGCCTGACGTTTGAGCGAGGCTGTTGCTTTCGTGTCAGTCACCACAAACCATAAGATTGTTGTTACATTGCGAATTCCTTTGTCCACCATCGTACGAAAAATCGAACGCACAGTATCATCATCATCTTTATCTCCATCAGAATCATCAAACCCAGGCGTATCGACGTAGAAGGATCCATTTCCGATATCATGAAACGTAACTTTTTTGGTCGTATCTCCGACTCCCACATCTTGCGCACCAAAAATGGTTCCTGTAAAGCTTTTTCCGTTCCCCGTCTTCCCGATTGCAAGTATACATCGTTGCTGTGACTAAGCAATAGATACGCATTGAACATAATTAAATTATTGTTTAAAGTTATGGCAACGTCATCGCTCATATACTTACATCGGACATTTTGTCGTAGATATTAAGATTTCTAACAGTTCGGTTCGGTTCTATGTCGGTTCTTAAATTTATTAAAAATGACTTATAATCTGTCTATAATTTTATCGCGTTGGTTCTGTTGGATTATCTAGGTATGTAAGAAAGTGTTTGCTTGAAGTGGGATAGAAGAGACTTTGGTAAAAATTATGTGGATAAGTGAGCCAGAGACCATGTCAATTTATTCATTTTTTTTCGCGATAATTTGTCACGCTGAAAGCTGTTTCGGAAAAAAGCATATCAGTTAAGTCATTGTCTAAGCTGTTATTCATAACACCAAAACAAGGAGGTAAAAAAAGCATACTTGTGAAGACCTTGTTTTATTCTTTCCACGTTGTAAGTAATTTCCGATTAGACAATGCATCATCAAAAAAACAGTGGCAAAAAAATATATTCGTGATGCTTTTGTTTTTTATCTCTTTGTTCTACACTTGGCAGGTAGTATGTTGATCTTTTTAATTACAGTATCGGTATACTGATACGTATCGGTATTAATATGTAACGGTAATACGAATTACTAAAGCTATACCGATACGTATTATCGTTATTGTTATTGTTTTCACTGGTGTTTAGGAAATTGTATCGCAAGAACTATAAAAATATTGAACAAAAGCCAAATAGCATTGTTGTAATTTTTTTAACTTTATCAAGTTTCAGTTTGACAACAAACATAAAATAATTAATCAAAATCATACACAATACACATATCCCAAGAAATCAACCGAAACCGAGATAGACTGAAGTTAAGTGGGGTCTTCAGTTCAGCAGCTGGAGTTCAGTTCTCGGCTCTAACTAAACTTGTGAGTATTTTAAAAAATTTAATTCAAATTTATTGTCGATCAATTCTTTTTAGTACATGTATTACGTATGCAAGTTTTTTGTCGTTATCGTTATCGTTATGGTCATCAATTTTAAATCTTTCAAATGATTAAATAAAAGTCATTCTTGTCAGAGAATTATTATAATAATCTTTTGATATGAATATGGTCTTACTTTAAATTTACACTACTGAATCATATTGTTAAGCTAAGTCATCACATTGGCAATATGACAGCAAACAATAGAGATAAACGGAAATAAAGAAAACAACTTTATTTGTATGAAAAAACAATAGACTTGCTTTATTAATCTAAACATCGATAGATATTTGTTTTAACATCAAGTATAAAGAAATCTCTAAAATATTTAAAAAATATAAATGCAGAAAAGAATTTCTCAAATAAATACAAAAAACGAACTTAACTTATTCTAAACTAAAAGGTTATCACTATTCATAATAGATTTCTTCAAAATCAAATGATCATTCTCGTGGGCCTTTTTATACCAATTCAATGACATGTCGAGATCTTTGGAAACAAGCATTTCTTAAAAATATCAACAAAATCTCAAATTAACATTATACATCAAGCTCCTTAAATACTTAACAAGCCAATTCATTTAATAACTTTATTAAAGATATACCTCAACAAACAAATCACTTTAAGATCCTTTATTAACCAAAATAAAAATGACATACTTTAAAAATATATTCAAAAAAATTAATTAACTTTGCAAAGATATACTTTCTTAATACAAAATTTGCTGAACTGAAAAACAAGCTTGACAAAATTCTAAGCATTCTTAAAAAATCAAACAATATTACTAACTCCTTCTTATTCATTCCAATTAAAATCTCAACAATCATTTTCTAATACACCAACTCCACATATCTTATATGAAAATACAATTATTATTCTTATATAATAATACTAATTTCAAATATAAACAAATTGAAAAATTAATTTAAATTAACAATGAGCTTATTTAACAAAATAATAAATCTCAAAGTTCAATAAATAAAAGAATACAATATCTAGAAAATATTTTTAATAATACAAGTATATTATAATGAATATATCATAAAGAACATAATTATTTTTACTAATAATAATCAATTATTTACTCATAATTATATCAAATTATTATTATTATTACTCAATATTTAATTTTTTAATTTTAATATATAATTAATTCTCTCTATTATCAATATAACAGAACCAAATATTTTTGTTAATATATAAAATAGTTAATAACTCAGAGTTTAGAATAAATATCAAGATATTAATTAGTTCAAGTAAAATATAGTTTGTAATTAATGTTAATAATAAAGAAGTATTAATAAAGAAAATTAACTATATTACTTAATTAATTATATAAATTCAGAAAATTATATATTAATTCATATTGTAATAGAAAAAAACAAGAATTTGCTAATAAAAAATAAAAATATAATTATTAATTGAATAACAAATTTGCGAAACTTGAATTCAATTAAAAAAGTTAAAAAATAATATTCAAAATTATAAGATCTTTTTGAAAATTATAAATAAACTTGAAATTATATTAAAAAAGGAATAAATATTTTTGTTTTGAAAAAGATTATTATATTAATACTAAAGAAAATTAATAATTATTAAAAACAAATAAAAAGCCAACAAACTATTAATTAAATATAGTTTTTTATTTATATATAAATTACTAAAAATAAAATAAATTAGATATATATTGAAATTTTATATATATATATTTGAAAGATTTAATATAATAATATTAAACTTAATTCATTTTTTTAATTATAATATTTTTTTATTTTATTTAATTCTTTCAACAAGAATATTTTTTATTTTTTAAAAAATTGTTTTTAAAATAATGTATAATATTTTAAAATATCGAGACTTAATAAGAAAACTTACTATATATATATATATATATATATATATATATACTTTTTTAAATTTCAAAATTTATACATTTTTTTGAATTAATAATCAGTATATTTATATATACTTTATAAATATTCAGCTTAAAAATAATATAACAAGTATATGATATTTATTTATTACTTATTGTAATATATTATAACTTAAAGATATTACTAATTATAATTAAATAATATTTTATTTATTATTATATTATAATAATTAGTATATTATTATTTTAATTCAACTTTTATTCTTTTTTATAATATTTAATAAATTTAAAATAGTTAAAAAAAGCTTTGTAAATATACTTTTACTTGTATTAATACATAATTTTATTTTAATAAATAGTATCTGAATAATTTTTTTAAACTAATATTTGTAATTAGTAATATCAAAATAAACTTGAAAAACATATTTTAATTATTATTATTATTAATAATAATATAATTTTTGTAAATATAAGTAATATCAAAATAAACTTGAATAACATATTTTAATTATTATTATTATTAATAATAATATTATTAATAATAATAATATAATTTTTTTGTAAATATAAGTAATATCAAAAAACATATTTTAATTATTATTATTAATAATAATATAAATTTTGTAAATATAAGTAATAGTTTCTGTTTTTGTTTTTTAACTTTTTTAATTATTATAATAAAATAAATTAATTATTTAAGAAAACTTAAAAGTAATAATTTATACAAGATCTTTGATTTTTTAAATATAAAAATAAAGAAATAATAATATAGTAAGTATTAAATACAAAAATTAATATATAGATATTGACAAAAATTTCAGATTAAATATTCATATTTATTAGAAATATATCAAATTATAAATCTAGTAATATAATTTTAAAAGAAATTAAATCTCTATCTTAAAAATAAAATTATACATAAAAGATTCTATAATAAAATAAATATTATTTAATCAAAAAATATAATATAATATTAAATATATAAATAAATGTATAATAAATATTAGATTAGAATAACTAGTCTTTAAAATTTTTTAGCAATATTTCAAAAACTCGAGGTTCGATATTTGGTTTCTTAAAGATAATCATCTTAATCGGTTCTCGCATCAGAAAGTGCTGTCGCAAAATATTGCGATTGCTCCACCAAGATTGCCGAGTGGCTGAAAAAGTACGTATTCTGATTTTCGCCAACAATAATCGAAATGTCATAATAGTTGGAATTTTCATAGAACTTATCAAGTCTGTTTGAGTGTGAAGTCAATAACAACTCAGGTGTCATTTTGATTTGTTAATTTTTAATTAATAGCGTTAGTTTATAGCGATTTTAACGATAACGATAATGCATGTACGCAATTTGATGGTATATATTATTTACGTTTGGTGCTGACACGAAGAAATTATGGAACTATATGTACGTATTATTCGAATTGGATGAGACGAAATTGCAAAAAAGTATTCATATAAATATAAACAAAAAGCAAGAAATCCACTTAAACGCAGTTTACACCAGTCGAATCTTTACCACAAAACTAATTTCAATTCCAACTAACACAGGCAGGTACATACTTTCTATTTATTTCTAATATAAATAATAGTATATTTCATATCAATTATATACTTGAAATACTTAAGTTCTACAAGTATCAGTTTGTATCTTCCAAACGAAGGTGAAGTTATATTTAATATTTTTTTATCATTACTATTTTTTCTTTTTGATTGCAAAATGAAATTAATGTATCGAGCTTTTAAGAACAACTACAACTCTATACTGAAATACTTCCAATACCATGCTCTTTATTATATGAAACTGGTAAGTATTAATTTATATGTGTGTTATCGTCATAGAATCACATTAAAAATATCTTTTTATTTTGCTAGCATCAAAAAATATTAGAGATTAAATCGATATTGATATTACTTTAACAAGCGCAACAACCAAAAGCAGTTTCTATCGTTATTGTTTATCGACTTCTTTGTGTATTTTATTATTTAACCATTACTTTCTATTAAATTTAGTTATTTTATTAATATAAGTATTCTTTCTAAAATTTACTTAAAAAACAAAAATAAGAGATATCATTTTGTTACTTTCCAATTACATGTACATACATTTCTACTTCGTCATAATACCACCTTAAGACTAACAACTGCTTTAACGAATCATTATCGAAGAACATTTTATTAGAATCATATTTAGCGCGAAATTTTTCAAATGTTGCAAGACGA